CTTATTTGTTCTTAATTTATTATATATATATATATATAACTGTATTAGACGGGGGAAGAAGTGATCGGAGACGAGCAAGTTCGCTCCTGGTGTTATTCTACCTTGTAGAAAGAAGCAAGCATGATTTTGCGTTAGCGGACGATAGATTTGGTTGTCACCAAAAATGTCTGGGTTTGGTGCAAGTCGAACCAAGATACAAGTGATACAAATGATAGTGAACCGCATGGGTTGACCGCCATCGCTGTAAAGGTGCTAACACCAACGCATTCAATATAAGCACACAAAATGTGGTACGTCTTGACAAACCCAGATGTTTGATTGTTAATCACGCTCTGTTTCACTGAACGGTAACACTGATTGGCTTACAACCCTACCTTAACTCACGACCATCGGAGTGTTTCCTTACTAGCTTGAATTAGATCTTGTTTAGGAAAGAAAACCTCGTTTGTAATATACATCATCGCTGGCATATTTTTTCATAGCCCTTGGTTACTGTGGAATCGAACGGTCGATTACTAGGTATTACGAAACGTGAACATATTGGAAGGTTTCATAATAATGTTGTACAGCACGGTCGTGAATTCCTCTGAACAGACATGACTGTCCAAAGAATACCTCATTTGTATGTTGCGTCTCGTGAACAAATTGTGTGTGTGTATTCAGTATCAGTTTGTTTTTACAACCGTTAACCATGCACTTTCGTGCGCCGGTTTTGGTTGCTGTCTTTTGGCTGCCCATTTGGNTCAAGCGGAAGATAGGGAATGCATATAGAGTGGTGTTAGAAAAATAACGAGTGGATGCACGAGCGCCACTGTTTGCGACACCCAGCCATATCACTCAGTGTAGCTAACCATCGATGACCATCATCCCGAGGTCCCCAGCCAGGGAGCCCAACGGGGCCCATGTGACCTAGTCTCCTGGTTAGAGTTTTCATACCCTCGTGTCAGGTCTTAGCTTGACCTCCCTTGGAATTTTTCCAGTCGCTACCAGCNAGCACATGTCCCAACCAGCGTAATCTATCGAGGTCGATCACTTGCTCTAGTGGATGACCGCGATTACCTAAAACTCTACGCCTAACCTCAACATAGTTTATCTGATTTTCCCACCAAACTCGTGCAACGCTACGCAGGGAGCGGTGTTCGAACACCCATAGTCCATTTATGTCCTGTTCCGGTAAAGGCTAAGTCTCTGCACCGTAGAGCAGGACTGGCTGAACTGCTGGAGCATACACTCGACCCTTCACAGACAGCCGGATGTCGCGACGGCGCCACAAATGTCTCACGTTGGCAAATGCCAATCGAGCCTTCTGTATGCGCGCCGACACTTCATCTATGATGCGTCTGCCGGGTGAGATATAGCTGCTCAGATAGCAATATTTGTCTACTTCCTCTACTACTTCTCCAGTTAGGGTGAGACCCAATCTTGTAGTAGCATTTTACACTTTGAAGGTGCAAAACGCATACCGAACATGGCAACACTAGCACTCAAACTATCCAGAAAAACTTGCAACTTACCTGGATCGTCACTTAGTAGCACAATGTCGTCTCATACTCTAGATCAGACAGTCTGCCACCAGGAAGTAAATCGATACCGCTTTCCTTGCACACGAGGATAGGGCTGTTTCAAGAATTAAATCCATGACAAAGTTAAATAGAAAAGGAGAGAGAGGGCAACCCTGTCGAATACCTTTTTCCGTGGCTAACTCGGGTGAAAAAGTGCCGTAAGCTCGAACTCAGCTTCGTCTATTATTGTACAGGGATTGTAATATTGAAATTAACTTCTCGGGCACTCCCTTCAGGGAAAGGCAGCGCCAGAGTTTAGAGCGGTCGACTGAGTCGAAAGCCGCTGTTAGATCGAGGAAAATAAAGTTGGTCGGGCTACGAAAGGAGTGTCTATGTTCTAGAATTTGACGGAGTATGAAGATGTGGTCAATACAGCCTCGATCAGGTCTGAAACCGGCCTGGTTCTCACGCGTGCTCCGTTCGCGTGCGGCAGGCAATCGACGGACTATGATACCGGTGAGAAGTTTAGAGGCAATGTTAAATAAACTAATTCCTCTGTGGTTTTCACATGAGGATCTGTCACCTTTCTTGTAAATCGGTATGATCGCCGATTCACACCATTCAGTTGGAACCTGTTCCTTTTACCACACTGAGCCCAGGAGTTCTGTTAACTCCAAAACCAAGGCTGAGCCTCCATTCTTAAAAACGGATGGGGACAGCCCGTCGGGCCCGGAAGCCTTATGCCGTTTGAGGTGACTTATTTCCCGGGTAATCTTCATTTCAGATGGAGGACTGATGTCAACTGGCAGTATTTGCACAGTTGAATCGAATGGGGGAAAGTCTTGTGTCGAAGGGGACTAGCTAAACTGTGCCTTAAAATGTTCTGCCCAACGTTCAAGACGACGTT